GCTGTTTCTTCCTTTTAACTGCCAGTGGGGGTATGAACTGATTGGATGAGAGCTTGGCTGTGTTCTGAACACACCTCCATCCAATCAGAATACAGCCAAGCTCTCATCCAATCAGTTCATATCCCCACTGGCAGTTAAAAGGAAGAAACAGCTACGATCACACATTGCTCCTAGAAGCACGAAGCCGAAAACACCAGCCTGAAGATAACGAATGAGACTTCGTCGAAACGTCGCCAAGACACTTCCAATTTGACACGGGAGAAAACCCGACAAATTTCTTTTTCTGACAAAGAGTTAAAGAATTAAATTGGGAGACTAAGATGGCCATTTCGAGCTCATTCTGCTCTCTTCAGTTAGCCACACCCTTTATGGTATTCGAACCTGGGCAGTTTACATACTAGGCAGTGATTTAACCATCAAGCCACAGGCTTTCCTCCCCTCTTTGCCAGCCGAGTCAAGGGAGTATATAGGCAAAAGAGATTGTAAAAAGTATAACTGCAGTATAGCAGTTAAAAATGTCAAAGTGTAATCAATCAGACCGGTCTGTCTTTAAAACTTCCTGTATATACTCCCTTGACTCGGCTGGCAAGGAGGGGAGGAAAGCCTGTGGCTTGGTGGTTAAATCACTGTCTAGTATGTAAACTGCCCAGGTTCCAATCCTATAAAGGGTGTGGCTAACTGAAGAGAGCAGAATGAGCTCGAAATGGCCAGCTTAGTCTCCCAATTTAATTCTTTAACTCTTTGTCAGAAAAAGAAAATTGGATTTGTAAATGTTTCGCAGACTTGAGCCTGCTTAACGCCCCTAGTTGGGCTGCAAGGCAAAAGAGATTGTAAAAAGTATAACTGCAGTATAGCAGTTAAAAATGTCAAGGTGTAATCAATCAGACCAATCTGTCTTTTAGCATTTTTAAATTACCAATTGTTTGTACCCCATTATCCTTATGCTGGTCTATGACTAATAAAGATTTGATCTGAAAGTATTGTTATGCAGCAGGCAAATACCATATACCTCATATATGGTACAGTGGGGCAAAAAAGTATTTAGTCAGCCACCAATTGGGCAAGTTCTCCCACTTAAAAAGATGAGAGAGGCCTGTAATTGTCATCATAGGTAGACCTCAACTATGAGAGACAAAATGAGAAAACAAATCCAGACAATCACATTGTTTGATTTGGAAAGAATTTATTTGCAAATTATGGTGGAAAATAAGTATGTGGTCACCTACAAACAAGCAAGATTTCTGGCTCTCACAGACCTGTAACTTCTTCTTTAAGAGGCTCCTCTGTCCTCCACTCATTACCTGTATTAATGGCACCTGTTTGAACTTGTTATCAGTATAAAAGACACCTGTCCACAACCTCAAACAGTCACACTCCAAACTCCACTATGGTGAAGACCAAAGAGCTGTCGAAGGACACCAGAAACAAAATTGTAGACCTGCACCAGGCTGGGAAGACTGAATCTGCAATAGGCAAGCAGCTTGGTGTGAAGAAATCAACTGTGGGAGCAATAATTAGAAAATGGAAAACATACAAGACCACTGATAATCTCCCTCGATCTGGGGCACCACGCAAGACCCCCCCCCTCCAGGGGTCAACATGATCACAAGAATGGTGAGGAAAAATCCCAGAACCACCCAGGGGGACCTAGTGAATGACCTGCAGAGAGCTGGGACCAACATACCAAAGGCAACCATCAGTAACACACTATGCCGCCAGGGACTCAGATCCTGCAGTGCCAGACGTGTCCCCCTGCTTAAGCCAGTACATGTCCGGGCCCGTCTGAAGTTTGCTAGAGAGCATTTGGATGATCCAGAAGAGGATTGGGAGGAATGCCGAGTTGCATCCAAAGAACACCATACCTACTGTGAAGCATGGGGGTGGCAACATCATGCTTTGGGACTGTTTCTCTGCAAAGGGACCAGGACGACTGATCCGTGTACAGGAAAGAATGAATGGGGCCATGTATCATGAGATTTTGAGTGCAAACCTCCTTCCATCAGCAAGGGCATTGAAAATGAAACGTGGCTGGGTCTTTCAGCATGACAATGATCCCAAACACACCGCCTGGGCAACAAAGGAGTGGCTTCGTAAGAAGCATTTCAAGGTCCTGGAGTGGCCTAGCCAGTCTCCAGATCTCAACCCCATAGAAAACCTTTGGAGGGAGTTGAAAGTCCGTGTTGTCCAGCGATAGCCCCAAAACATCACTGCTCTAGAGGAGATCTGCATGGAGGAATGGGCCAACATACCAGCAACAGTGTGTGCCAACCTTGTGAAGACTTACAGAAAACGTTTGACCTCTGTCATTGCCAACAAAGGATATATAACAAAATATTGAGATGAACTTTTGATATTGACCACATACTTATTTTCCACCATAATTTGAAAATAAATTCTTTCCAAATCAGACAATGTGATTGTCTGGATTTGTTTTCTCATTTTGTCTCTCATAGTTGAGGTCTACCTATGATGACAATTACAGGCCTCTCTCATCTTTTTAAGTGGGAGAACTTGCATAATTGGTGGCTGACTAAATACTTTTTTGCCCCACTGTAGTACCTCTTTTAGTAACACACTGACAGAATGTGCTCCAGATTTAACTGGAATTGCTATTTTAGTCAATTCATTAGTAACTATTTGTGTAATATTTCAAGAAGCTGAGTATATGTCTGAATAATTAGTCTGCTACTTGTTTATGTAAAGTGCCTTTAAAATTGATTTTTATTTTAAAGCCTGCTTTTACTTTGATTTATTTTTAATTTGCTAAAGAATGCAAATCACCATAAGTTGACACTGAAGTTACGGGATAAAATGGAGTTTACACTAATGCACTGAACTAATGTATCAGCAGCCATCACTGCAATCTATTGAAAAGTATTTATCTGTCTTCTTTCTTTGATAGCTATGTTTAGGATACATCCATTAGCTCTTGGCTTTAATATCTATTTTAGACATACTGTATGTTTTATTCCATCATGCTTATAGCTCTAGATTAATTATTCTTCATACTGAAATGCTATCTAGGGAATTTAGGGTTCCATATTCTGATACCTTTACCTTCCAGTGCAGTACATTCTTTCTTCTTCATAAGATATTAGTAAACAAAACAAAAAGGGTTTTTGTTTATTGTCTGCTCATGCCATTGATCAGCAGAATCCTACTGAAACTTGCAGGGATTTAATAAGCTGCAGATTAGCCTTTATTCAGTTTCTGATTGAAGTTGGATTAGTCAAACCAGATAGTTCTAGTCTTCTTAAATGAGCTCTTCTATTGGTGCCCTTGAATAAGTGGCTTCACATATTGAAGCTACATCTCTTCCAGGTGCTGGATTTACCAACACATTTTCACCTCTGTAGATGATTATTTCTACAGTCCTAGGAAGAGATCATCTAAAGCAGGGGTCTTCAGACTTGGCCCTTTTATGCCTTCAGCGTGCCTGGCTGAAGAATTCTGGGAGTTGGAAGTCCACAAGTCATAAAAGGGCCAAGTTTGAAGACCCCTGGTGTAAAGTGTTGGTTGTTGCACTCGGATATGTATTGCTTTTTCACATCCATGAGCTAAATGGCGTGCTAAATTATGGATAGAATAAATTCTGTTCTTACCCATACCTTATTTCCTTTGGACAAAACAAGTCAGCAAGATTTGCCCCTGCTTTTAACTTTTTTCAAATAACCAGTTCAGACTCAGCCTTTGGTTATTCTGGTTTCTGCTACATAGACTTTCACTAAGTATGTAAAATCATACTTTTAGGGTGTTTTGAAAGAATAGAGAGTATGTCTATTTCAGAAAATCCATAGGATCATAGGGATAATGTGCTTTGCTGGTCAGAAGATAAAAAGCCACAATCGGGTACAAAAATATAACATAAATATTAGCTCCTGCAAACTTGTTCTCTATAAACCTAATTTTAAAAATATCTTGGATCATTAATCACATGACCAGCAGAGCAGTAGCTACATGGAGAACTAGCTTGAAAGTGAAATGCATTAGATTCGAAGCTTGGGAGAATGACACTACAAAGGGCAAAACTGTAAATCTTTCCAAGAGAAAACCATGACCAGCCTTTACAAAAAAGATTGTTTCAGCACTGAAATTGCAGACAACTCCAATTCTAGAATTCTTAGAAACTGTCCTCCACAGGAAATATAAGACATCGAACTAAGCATCATTCCCCAAATGATCTGAATTACTTAGCTCTAAACTGGCAAGCAAGAAATGATAGCCATGGGTAAATTAAAAAAGTAGTTGCTAGCATATTACCATGAAGAAACATTGCCTCTCAAGAATCTCACAGAATGAGATCCAAAATTCCCAGTTTAGCTAATACCTCCAAATACATAAGGAAGACAACTTTCTGCACCCTAATGGGTTACAAGATTTTCAAAGAACTCACAGCAGATCCTATACTGATTTCATATATTGCATGGCAATTTCCACTTCTGAAACATTGCACTGGGATGCAGGGGGAAACCCTGATCAGTATCGTAGTATTGCTGTCCCAAAGCCTGGACAACCAGAATACTAAATAATATATAGTTTTTGTATGCTTAGTTGGAAGTAAAGCTCGTGGTTCAATGGGATAACTTTTCTCTAAAAAAAGATTGAAACTAGTGTTATGACCCAGAAATTGCAGTGTGATAACTATATATTTATATTTAGGGAGGTTGATTTTACTTATTGGCTATACTTCAGGGTTTTTTTTTTTAATATATTTGGCTTGGCCACCATATATTTATGCTTCTTTGGTTTAGATCTGAATCACCTGCCCTTCCCAACTGAATTTTTTTCTTCCTTCCCTTTGTTTCATTAATCCTTCTTCTTCAGTCCTTACATTTTTTTTGTTCTTTTTACCCATCTTCCTCCAGCAGTTATACTTCCCATTTTTCTCTTTTTAGTGCTTGACATAATTCATTCTGCTGATGCTTTACATTTTTATTTATCCTGTAATAGCTTATTTTTTAAAAAACAATAATCACATCCTTCTTTCAAATATCTTCCAGTGTTAATTTACAGTATCTGGTTTTATGACAAGAATGACTGTCATCGAATAGCAAAACTCATGTCTAAGTAAGTACCTATTTTTTTAATATAATTTAATATAAAAATTGAAAGCATGAATAAACATGCTTAGGTTATTTTTAGCTTTATGGCATCTCACTGCAAAATTGGTTTTTGCATGATTTTTTTTTGTTCTCACCTTCTAAAGATGCATTATGACTTAATGTAATACTTTATGACAAAAATACATTGTGACTTAATGTTTGGAAGAAATAGTCAAATTGTAATTCTGTATCCCACATTTGGAACTAAGGTATGATTGTATATCTGCGGGAGATAATTTAAAATCACAATGAGTGGTAGCACTGAATGACTGTTTATAATTATATTGATGTTTCTAATCTTAATATAATTGTAGTATAACACTCTGATAGTCTCTGGAAATGGAGTGGTATATAAATTATAACTTCAAACATCTTAGTCTTAAAAATGCCAAATACAGACGTTCCTCACTTTCCTGCATTGTCATAATGCTTTGAATTCTCAGGAAACATTCAGACATTCAGCATATAAAGGATATTGTGATTTTTTAAAAATATGTAACCTAAGTATTTCTTAAGGAATACATGCTTGTTTTCAGTCAAAATCATTTAAAGGACTGTCCATGGAGGTTCTCATTCACCCAGGTCATAGTTGCCCCAAAGGTGCTTTTATTTTAAAGGCAATTGGACTTTCTGATTTTTCTTTAAGGTGTTTCACTTCTCATCCAAAAAGCTTCTTCCGTTCTAACCAACTGGTAGGGAAAGGAACTGATTTATCCGCTCTGCAGTTGGCCAGTCATTAACATTCATTCTGAAGGTCATTGAAACAACCTAGGATCTAATCTGTGTCCTCAAGATCACGTGAATCAGAATGCAAATAATGGCAGAACCCTGTTTGGACTGGGCTGCATTGTAAAGGAGATGATAGTGTGGTGCTAATAGTGGGATGAATGGTGTGGTGCCATAACCCTCCCCCTCTGTTGAGAGAGAATTGTTCACTTTTAACATAGATACACTGAAACAATGGTTTCTGTCAGTTTCTCTTCCATTTTTCCTCCTCCTTACAACTTTTGCGATAAGTGTATAGTAAAATAGCAACTTCTACCTGATCAAGCATTGCTAAGTTGTTATTGTTGTTGTTATTGTTGTTGTTGTTAATTGCGAAGTCGTGTCCGACCCATCGCGACCCCATGGACAATGTTCCTCCAGGTCTTCCTGTCCTCTACCATCTTCTGGAGTCCATTTAAGTCCACACCTACTGCTTCAGTGACTCCATCCAGCCATCTCATTCTCTGTCGTCCCATTCTTCTATTGCCCTCAATCTTTCCCAGCATCAGGCCCTTTTCCAGTGAGTCCTTCCTTCTCATTAGGTGGCCAAAGTACTTGAGTTTCAACTTCAGGATCTGGCCTTCTAAAGAGCAGTTGGGGTTGATCTCTTCTAGGACTGACCGGTTTGAACGCCTTGCAGTCCAAGGGACTCGCAGGAGTCTTCTCCAGCACCATAGTTCAAAGCCTCAATTCTTTTGCGCTCAGCCTTTCTTATGGTCCAACTTTCACAGCCATACATTGCAACTGGGAAAACCATGGCCTGGACTATACGCACTTTTGTTGGCAGGGTGATGCCTCTGCTTTTTAGTATGCTGTCTAGATTTGCCATAGCTTTCCTCCCCAGGAGCAAGCGTCTTTTAATTTCTTGGCTGCAGTCCCCATCTGAGGTGATCTTGGAGCCCAGAAAAATAAATCTGTCACTACCTCCATTTCTTCCCCATCTATTTGCCAGGAATTGAGAGGGCCGGATGCCATGATTTTGGTTTTCTTAATGTTGAGTTTCAAGCCAACCTTTGCACTCTCCTTCTTCACCCGCATCAAGAGGCTCTTTAGTTCCTCTTCACTTTCTGCATTAGCGTGGTATCATCTGCATATCTTAGGTTGTTGATATTTCTCCCGGCAATCTTAATTCCAACTTTTATTTCATCTAGCCTTGCCTTTCTCATGATGTGCTCTGCATATAAGTTAAATAGGCAGGGCGACAGTATACAGCCTTGCCGGACTCCTTTTCCAATTTTGAACCAATCAGTGGTTCCGTGTCCAGTTCTCACTGTTGCTTCTTGACCCGCATATAAGTTTCTCAAGAGACAAATGAGATGGTCTGGTACTCCCATCTCTTTAAGAACTTGCCACAATTTGTTGTGATCCACACAATCAAAGGCTTTAGCATAGTCAATGAAGCAGAAGTAGATGTTTTTCTGGAACTCCCTAGCTTTCTCCATGATCCAGCGTAGTTGGCAATTTGATTTCTAGTTCCTCTGCCTCTTTGAAATCTGCCTGTACTTCTGGTAGTTCTCGATCCACATACGCTGGAGTCTAGCTTGTAGATTTTAAGCATAACTTTACTAGCATGTGAAATGATGGCAATGGTGCATAGTTTGAACATTCTTTGGCAGTGCCTTTCTTTGGAATTGGAATGTAAACTGACCTTTTCCAATCCTGTGGCCACTGTTGAGTTTTCCAATTTTGCTGGCAAATTGAGTGTAGCACTTTTACTGCATCGTCTTTTAAGATTTTGAATAGCTCAGCTGGAATACTGTCACCTCCACTAGCTTTGTTGTTGCTCAGATTTTCTAAGGCCCATTTCACTTCACATTCTAGGATGTCTGGTTCGAGGTCAGTGACCATCTCATTGTGGTTATCTGGGATGTTAAGCTCATTCTTGTATAGTTCTTTTGTGTAGTTTTGCCATCTCTTCTTAATCTCTTCTGCCTCTGTTAGGTCCCTGCCATTTTGGTCCTTTATCATGCCCATCTTTGCATGAAACGTTCCCTTCATATCTCCAATTTTCTTGAAGAGATCTCTGGTCCTCCCTATTCTGTTGTTTTCTTCTATTTCTTTGCACTGTTCATTTAAGAAGGCATTCTTATCTCTTCTAGCTATTCTCTGGAATTCTGCATTCAATTGGGTGTATCTTTCTCTTTCTCCTTTGCCTTCGCTTCCCTTCTTTCCTCAGCTATTTGCAAAGCTTCCTCAGACAGCCATTTTGCTTTCTTGCATTTCTTTTTCTTTGGGATGGTTTTAGTTGCTACCTCTTGTACAATGTTGCGAACTTCCATCCATAGTTCTTCAGGCACTCTGTCTATCAGATCTAATTCCTTAAATCTATTTGTCACCTCTACTGTATATTCATTAGGAATATGATTTAGTTCATACCTGAGTGGCCTAGTGCTTTTCCCTACTTTTTTCAATTTAAGCCTAAATTTTGCAACGAGAAGCTCATGATCTGAGCCACAGTCAGCTCCTGGTCTTGTTTTTACTGACTGTATAGAGCTTCTCCATCTTTGGCTGCAGAGTACATAGTCAATCTGATTTCTATGTTGACCGTCTGGTGATGTCCATGTGTAGAGCCGTCTCTTGGGTTGTTGGAAAAGAGTGTTTGTTATGACCATCGTATTCTCTTGACAAAATTCTATTAGCCTGTGCCCTGCTTCATTTTGTACTCCAAGGCCAAACTTGCCTGTTATTCCGGTTATCTTTTGGCTTCCTACCTTAGCATTCCAATCCCCCATGATAATAAGGACATCATTTTTTTGGTGTTAATTCTATAAGGTGCTGTAGGGCTTCATAGAATCGGTCAATTTCATCCTCTTCAGCACCAATGGTTGGGGCATAGATTTGGATTATTGTGATATTGAATGGTTTGCCTTGGATTCGAATTGAGATCATTCTGTCATTTTGGGGTTTGTATCCCAGTATTGCTTTTCCTATTCTTTTATTGACTATGAAGGCTAGTCCGTTTCTTCTGAGGGATTCTTGCCCACAGTAGTATACCTGATGGTCATCTGAGTTAAATTCACCCATTCCTGTCCATTTTAGTTCGCTGATTCCTAAGATGTCGATGTTCAGTCTTGTCATCTCTTTTTTGACTACGTCTAGCTTGCATTGATTCATGGATCTTACATTCCAGGTTCCTATGGAGAAAAAATCTTTACAGCATCGGACTTTCCTTTCACCACCAGATATATCCACAGCTGAGCGTCCTTTCGGCTTTGGCCCAGTCACTTCATTCTTTCTGGCGCTACTAGTACTAGCCCGCTGCTCTTCCCCAGTAGCATATTGGACACCTTCCGACCTGAGGGGCTCATCTTCCAGCGTCATATCTTTTTGCCTTTTAGTACTGTCCATGGGGTTTTCATGGCAAAGATACTGGAGTGGTTTGCCATTTCCTTCTCCGGTGGATCACATTTTGTCAGAACTCTTTGCTATGACCTGTCCGTCTTGGGTGGCCCTGCACGGCATAGCTTATAGCTTCATTGAGTTACACAAGCCCCTTCGCCACGACAAGGCAGTAATCCATAAAGGGGTTGTTATTGTTATTAGATTTAATGTAGAAGCCCATTCCAGTTAACCTGTTCTTTGCTTGTAATGTAAATAACTTAAGCTTTTAGTTATATGCCTGTATATTTGGTCACTATTTCTAACTCATATTATTCTATCTATTACTGTATTTTAGATTTATCCGTTACATCCGAGGTGGAGTTGGCCTTTTTCAAAATAACCTGAAATATTTTATTAAGCTATCTATCACAATCTTACTCAGCACATTCTATTTATATCCCACTGCAATCCAAAATGATTCTCAGTGGGATATAAGGCCATCTTGTATTTATTATATTAGACAGTTCATCATTTTAATGCCTGTTCAGTTTAATAAGATCATTTAAAAGGTTTTGCTGCCTTTTGTATTTTTATCATCCTAAATAGTTTGGTGTTATGTTCATCCAGATATTTATAAAGAACCTAAAACCCAGTATAAATCCTTATATGCTTTCTTCCATTTTGAGAACTGTCTATTTGTTCCTACACTATTCTTTAACTAGAACAGCGGTTCTCCACCTGTGGGTTGCGACCCTTTTGGGAGTCGAATGACCCTTTCACAAGGGTCACCAAGCCCCCTCCCTGTTGTCCAGACTACACTGGGGCGGGAGCTTCTCGCCGACTGCTGGAGGGCAGGTGGGGCGACTCTGCCCCGAAGCACTCCCAGTCGTGCCAATCCAAAGGCAGGATATTGGGGGGGCTCCTCTCCCATCGCAGCCCTCGAGTCTCTCTGCCTGAACGGCCCTCGGTACCTCACCACTCCCACAGGTTGGTGCGACTGCGACGCCCTCCAGCTGATCCGGGGCCCCGTCGGTGCCCGCCTCCTCCAGCTCTTTCTCCCACGGCAGTGACACCCACTACTTCGCTTCGCCGCTTCCCCTTGTGCTGGGCCGAGAGGGTGGCAGGGCTGTGCGGAGCAAGCGAGGGAGCCTCCTTCCCTTTGAGCTTGGTGAGCCAGCCTCGCCCTTTTCGCTCCCCCAGCGACAATTCTGCCTTTTAATGCCACTAGGGGAGAGGGACCAACCTCCGCCCCCACCTTTATTGCCATCGACTGAAGAAAGCGGCAGGTGAGAGCCGCCGCTCGCCCGGGGAAACCAGCATGGGGAAACCAGCATGCTTAAGAGACGGGTGGGCCGCCTGCTCACTCGCAGCAGCCAGCTGGCCAGCCTGCTCGCCCTTGCTTTACTTGGCAGCTAGAGAGGCTCGGGGGCTTCGTGGACTTCCGTCCCAAGTTCTCCAACCTTTGTAGGCTGGCTGGGCCGCCCAAGCCTCCCAGACTGGTCAATAACCTCCACAACAGAGGGTCGGAACTGGTCAAAAGTTCCGCATCTCCAAATTGATCCCCGATCGGACAGAGAGGGAGGGAGGAAGAGAGGGAGAAAGAAAAAGAGAGGAGAGAGAAATAGAGAGAAGGGGAGAGAAAGAAAGAGGGAGAGAGAGAGATTAAATTAGTAACATGGTTCTTAAGTGAATCTGGTTTCCCCACTAACTTTGCTAGTCAGAAGGTTGCAAAAGGCGATCACATGACCCTGGAAAATGTGTTTGTGTACGTGTGTGTTGTAGGGCAAAGGGAGAAGAGAAAAGGTCAGGTCTCCCTTCAGAGCCATAGGTGGAGCAGCTGAAGGTGTGATTCGGCACCCATGCTTCAAGACAAAATTTCATTTATTTGTAATTAGAAATATTTCACAATATATAATTACATATTGTTTTTGTGATTAATCACTATGCTTCAATTATTTTCAATTTGTAACAATGAAAATACATCCTGCATTTCAGATATTTACATTATGATTCATAACAGTAGCAAAATTACAGTTATGAAGTAGCAAGAAAAATAATTTTATGGTTGGGGGTCACCACAACATGAGGAACTGTATTAAAGGGTCGCGGTATTAGGAAGGTTGAGAACCACTGAAATAGAAAATTATATGTAAGTTTTTGGTGAAGAAATTTGCCAAAGCCTTTTGAAAACAAGTCACCTGATTGGAGTCATTACTTTGTTTGTTGAGATTTTCAGAGATGTCTAAAGGGTTAGTGAGGTTGGACTTATTACAGAAGCCATATTGATTTTTCTCCAGAAGAGTTTGTCTTTCTATATGTCAATTTAACTGCTTTCTACCAATGATCCTGAACTGCCCTGCAGTTGATTATGTACCATCAAGTCAAAATCAGCTCTTAGGGTCCACATAAAGCAGCACATTAAAGATCTTCATGTGATTTTATCTATAATTTAAGAAATGTTTCTTTCTGAAAGTAACTTTAATTTTTCTTAATGTCATTTATTCTTATTAGCAGTGTTGGTGACCTTTTGGGTAACGTTACCTTTGCACTATATATCGTACCTGAGTTTTTATTTTAGCTCTGGAATGGAGAAAGTTAATCCACTTGGTTTTTTTTCTTTTGGATTGTTTTCTACAAGCCCATTTATTTATTTATTTATTTATTTATTTATTTATTTATGAGACTTATATACCGCTTTAAGTGCAAGCACTCTCTAAGCGGTGTACACCAGTGAGCAGTGTATATATATATTTACATTGCCCCCAACAGTCTGGGTCCTCATTTTACCTACCCCAGAAGGATGGAAGGCTGAGTCAACCTTGAGCCGGTGAGATTTGAACCGCTGACCTGCTGAACACAGTCAGCTAAAGTGGCCTGCAGTACTGCACTCTAACTGCTGAGCCACCTCGGCTCCTTTTATTTTTAGAAGTATTTCTTTTTGAAATTGAATATGACGGTATGAAAGTTTCATAACAACCCTACTAGTAATTGATAGATTTGGTGTGAGGAATTGATGAAAATACACATATGATTCCCTTGACTGTACTTCAAACTCTTAATCATACTTTCAGTGTTGGGGATACTATACCAATATGATGATATATAATACCTGCAGTGATGTAGTGGCATATGAATCTAATGATACAATGTATTTTATGTAATGACCTAATCCAAATTAAATGCAGCTTAATGTCCATTTGCATTAATTCATGCAGTTTAGCAACTATATTGCAAAATACATTAAATAATCCACATTATAGCTAATGTAGGCATAAGATTCAGAAGATGGATGTATTCAGATTTTGTTTTAGACTAGAGATAGCCAGTGTGGATTTTACAAAAATAGTGTTCCCACATTTAGTGTCATCTTTGTTTAAATAACTTATCTTAAGTACATAGAAGCTCACAGACATCCTTAGAAAATGCAGCCTAGTACTTTAGTTGTTTTGCCCACTCTAAAAGGCAAAGACATATAGCAATAACAATTAGACTTATGTATCGCTTCATAGTGCTTTACAGCCCTCTCTAAGCAGTTTGCAGAATCAGCATATTGCCCCCAACAGTCTGGGTCCTCATTTTACTGACTTCGGAAGGGTGGAAGTTTGAGTCAACCCTGAGCCACTCAGAATCGAATTCCTGGAGTGAGCAGTGAGTTAGCTTGAGTACTGCATTCTAACCACTGTGTCACCACGGCTCTTATATATACTGTAATAGAGTTATTAATCATTCATATTAGAGAAAGTATCCTCATCATAATAGTAATAGGCTAGCTCTCTGCCATGGCAGCTATTTTGTGAGAATGCAGAATATTTTTAAATTTATAGTTATTCAATATTATTTTAATATTATTACATATTCTCACCATTCCAGATATACCCAAAATGATTGATAGCATCCTTACCTGGCTTTATTTTTAAGACTAAAATCTGCACCATTTTTTTTCTTTGAAAAATAGATACCTGCTCCATTACTTTTAGTATGTCATACTAATTTGATCTTTATCCTGCCTTTCCCCCATTACAGTTTACCTGGGGATCTCATTTCATTTTATCCCCATAGCAACATTTCTGTGAAATGGGTTGGACTGAGAGAGATTGTTTAGCCCAAATTATCAGCCATGATTGAGGGTAGACTTAAGTCTGGGCCTCCTCAGTCCTAGTCTAAAATCCTAACTCTGTCTTCATTTCAAGTTGATTGTGCCAGTTTGTTTTAAGTTAGTAAAAATGTTCTGAATCAATGAGAAAAGATTAGACATTGCATTTCTTTTTATTTTATTCTAAAGCATTGCTTATATTTCTGGGCAAATGTATGTCAAAGTGGTTTATACATATTTATGTAAAGCAAAGTTAACAATAATATATTCAACTAAGTTGTAATGGAGGTAGTAACCACCAATTATTTGAAAGTCCATAATAAATAAATTGTGAAGAAAATATTCATGAGGTTTCTAATGCAGGGTATAAAATAAGTGGTTACATGTTGTACACTGGTTTATGGCTCAGTATTATGAATCAAGGCATTCATTATTACCTTATTCAGCAAACCATAGTCAGAGCAAATGGTTGCTTATTGCAATTTGTAAATCCTTTTATTAAAATAAAATGGGCAGATTAAAGATCAGTGTATAATGGAATAAATAATGTATACTTTATAGTGATTAATCTATATTGCCTATTACATTTAATCTTGCTTTTACTTGCGTGTTGTGTGTGCTCTTCCTTTCATTAAAATCATGCTTTTCCAAGAAAGGTATATGTTGTTAAAATATATTCTAAATATAAGTAGTCTTTTCTTCTCTTTTGTGATAGGGTGGTACAGGAAGAAACTCAGAGATCCCAGCAACAATTACAGGATAGAAAAAATGTCAATCGGGTTAATGGTTGCACAGATATCCTAGAGTTGCTTAGTAAAGCAAAGGTTGAATATGAACGGGTAAGGAAATTGTGCATGTTACAATTTTAAGACCAGGTTCTAATTTTAGGATTTTACGTATTTAAAGACAAAATAATTACCCACAAATATGCTTGAAAAGGTCCTTGAATTATGACCATTCATTCAGTAATTGTTTGAAGCTGCAATGCTACTGAACTACTTAAAATCAGTATTCAAAGTTCCAGCACTACCCTCACAGTCAGGTGAGCAAAATTTAGTTGCATGGCATCCAGCTTGCACTTGAAACCAATTGCAGTGTCCTGCAACAACACGGACACCAATGTGTGACCTTCTGTGCCAGCTTCTTCCAAGTAACATCACTGAGAAGTCAGCAAAGAAGATTGCGCACATCTACAATTTCTCTGTGATTCCCCCCCCCCACACACCTTCTTTCAATAGCCTCCCTGTGCACACACAGGTACAGTGAGGGGAAAAAATATTTGATTCCCTGCTGATTTTCTACATTTCCCCACTGACAAAGAAATGATCAGACTATAATTTTAATGGTAGATTTATTTTAACAATGAGAGACAGAATAACCACACAAAAAATCCATAAAGACACATTTCAAAAAAGTTATAAATTGATTTGCATTTTAATGGGTGAAATAAGTATTTGATCCCCTATCAATCAGCAAGATTTCTGTCTCCCGGGTGTCTTTTGTACAGGTTATGAGCTGAGATTAAAAGCACTCTCTTAAAAGGAGTCCCCCTAATCTCAGAAGGAATCAATCAGATTCCAAACTCTCCATCATGGCCAGGATCAAAGAGCTGTCCAAGGATGTCAGGGACAAGATTGTAGATCTACACAAGGCTGGAATGGGCTACAAGACTATCGCCAAGCAACTTGGTAAGAAGGTGACAACAGTTGGCGCAATTATTTGCAAATGAAAGAAAAACAAAATAATGTCAATCTCCCTCCATCTCCCTCCATGCAAGATCTCACCTTGTGTTTCAATGATTATGAGAACGTTGAGGAATCCGCCCAGAACTACATGGGAGGATCTTGTCAGTGATCTCAAGGCAGCTGGGAAAATAGTCACCAAGAAAACAATTGGTAACACACTACGCTGCGAAGGACTGAAATCCTGCAGCGCCCACATGGTCCCCCTACTCAAGAAAGCCATGTACAGGCCCGTCTGAAGTTTGCCAATGAACATCTGAATGCTTCAGAGGAGAACTGGGTAAAAGTGTTGTGGTCAGATGAGACCAAAGTTGAGCTCTGCCTATGACCCCAAGAACACCATCCCCACCGTCAAACATGGAGTTGGAAAAATTATGCTTTGGGGGTGTTTTTCTGCTAAGGGGTCAGGACAACTTCACCGCATCGAAGGGACGATGGACGAGGCCATGTACTATCAAATCTTGGGTGAGAACCTCCTTCCCCCAGCCAGGGCATTGAAAATGGGTCGTGGATGGGTATTCCAGCATGCCAGTGACCCAAAACACAGGGCCAAGGCAACAAAGGAGTGGCTCAAGAAGAAGGCCTAGCCGGTCTCCAGCCCTTAATCCTATAGAAAATCTGTGGAGGGAGCTGAAGGTTCGAGCCACCAAACATCAGCCTTGAAACCTTAATGACTTGGAGAGGATCTGCATAGAGGAGTGGGACAAAATCCCTCCTGAGATATGTGTAAAACCTGGTGACCAACTACAAGAAACGTCTGACCTTGGTGATTGCCAACAAGGATTTTGCCACCAAGTACTATGTCATGTTTTGCGAAGGGGTCAAATTTTTCTTTCACTCATTAAAATGCAAATCAATTTATAACTTTTTTGAAGTGCGTTTTTCTGGATTTTTTTGTTGTTCTGTCTCTTCCTGTTAAAATAAACCTGCCATTATAATTATAGACCGATCATTTCTTTGTCAGTGGGCAAAAACGTACAAAATCAGCAGGGAATCAAATAATTTTTTTCCTCACTGTATACACCCTTTGCCTTCTTCCCAAGGCTTCCCTATGATTGCATACATGTGCACACACACTCCCATGGCCTTTTTCAACAGCCTCCCTGCTAATTGCACACATGCACCCCAGGCCTTTCTGAGCTAACACCACACTGAGCACCTCCTTCCCTGACTTGGGTATGGCCTGTGCCTGTCCTCCCAGGGCTTTACTCCTTACCTGGAACTTCCTCAGCTTCCCACTTAATGAGCCATGCATCTTGGGTTATGATGACAAGTGGAACTGCCTGGGTTATCACTAAGCAGTGTCCTGTGATGTCATGTTTTTGGACCACATGCCTAGCAAATGGCAATCCTGGTCTCAATTGCAAGTTCCTGGTCTCTACTAATTCCTATTAAATTTCATGCTATCTGTGGCAGTTTTGTTCATAGATCTCTATATTATGTCGTTTATGGTGAAATGCATATTCAGCAATTGATGTAAATCCTTTTGTAACATCTCGCTCATCACAGTAATTAAAAAAAACTTTCTACATTTACATCTACACTTCTCTAAGCCTTTTCTAACACTGCACACGTAGCACAGAACTACAATTACCTCAGTTCTAAAAATGCATGGCAACATGTCAGCCCAAAAACCCCTAGAGAAGAAATATCCAGTCCACAATCCACATTTAATGGTGTGCTCTATGTGTTAAACGAGTAGTTTATAAAAATGGAAATGATACAGTACAGACCCATTTGCTGTTAAACTTAACCACTGTAATTGGCTTTACTTCCTTACATTTGTTATTCACTTTTTATATTTGGGCTGTCTTCATATAGTGATCTAAAAAAAATGATGTTTTTCTCTATGATTGCAAATTTTGTCAGTTCAGTTCTTCTGAAATAAATGTGTTAACTTTGCAGATCATTTGAGGCATAAAACTAAATCATTTATTTATTTTAATATTATTAATACCTTTGCCTTATGTGTGAAAACACATTGGGCACATGCTGGGATAATTTTATAATGGTTTTGCAGTCGGCATGTGTTTTTTGGAAACAGTTTTCTTCTTTCCTAAGTTTAGAGTAGTTCTGCAGATGGAATTAATTTTTTATTAGTTTTAGTTTTTGAAAAATCGCATAAAAGATTTCATTAAACACTTGGGAAGCAAAGTGATTTGTTTGTCGCCTCATCATAATATAACAACATAGTTAATTCGTATTTTGTATGAGCATGTTGTGTGGAGCCAGATAGCACATTTATTCATTGCACCCTGGTTAAAACAAACCATGTGATGTGTGAATTCTGTCAAAGAGTTGTAAGCCTCTTAACAACAGCTAACAATTGGCCAAATAACATCCAAAATTCACAGTGGCAGGACCATTAGCCACCAGGCAAGATTGTTACTAAAAAAAAGATAAGAAGGGAAAAATGGATGACACTTGAAATGCTATCTGTATAAAGATAGTCCTCGACTTATGATCATTTGTTTAGCAACCATTTGAAATTACAACAGTGCTGAAAAAAGAGTTACAAATGGTTCTCATACCTAAATGACCACTGCAGTTTCCACATGATCACAATCCAAGGAAGAAAGCTTTGACTGTATTCGCATAAATCAGTGTTTCCCAAACTTGACAATTTTAAGGCATGTGGACTTCAACTCCCAGAATTCCACAGCCAGCGTTGCTGGCTGTGGAATTCTGGGAGTTGAAGTCCTCATGCCTTAAAATTGTCAAGTTTGGGAAACACTGCCATAAATCATAATTATCTCATTCAGTCCAAACTGGAATTTAAAAATAATGTTTCTTTCCTTTTTATTCTTTTAGAATCAGAAGAGTGACTTAATTTCAGGGACCCAAGAAAGTGGAAATCTCACAAAGCCTGAAAGTACAGAAGCATCTGAATATGAAACACTGATGTTACAAGTCCAAGATCATGTATGTTAAAATCAGATCCTCTGAGATTTTATCCTTATGAAATGCTATTTTAAATGGAAATACCGGTAGTCCTCGAATAACAGCAGTTCATTTAGTGGCTATTCAAAGTTATAACAGCACTGAAAAAAATGACTCACTATCATTTTTCACACTTAATGACCGTTGCAGCATCCCCGTGTTTATGTGATCAAAATTCAGACACTTGGCAACTGACTCATATTTATGACGGTTTCATAGGGTCATCTGATCCTTTTGCAAACCCTCTTGCAGGCAAAGTCAATGGCGAAGCCAGATTCACTTAACTGTAGTACAACTGTAGAAAGGTAAAATGGGGCAAAATTCACTTAATAAATGTTTCACCTAGCAACAGAAATTTTGGGCTCGATGGTGGTCGTAACACGAGGACTACTTTGTTACTTTTGTCCTCATTCTAAATGTGTATATTACTTATATCGGGTCCCCAACCATCAGGCTGCAGCCCACTAGGAACTGGGCTACGCAAGCGACGGGTCAGACTGTGTGTGCTTTGTCAGCAATAGGAGGAAAATGAAGAAGGTCATCCATGTGTGACAGGTCCTGTGAAGCGCTGGCATTGGGGGGAACTGTGGCTTTCTGCAGTGATGGTTGCTGTTTGCAGTATAGGGCTTGACGCAGCATTTTTCATTGATGGCAGTGTTAGCATTGGGGCTGAAGTTGAGACCTGGAGTGATAGTACCTGGCTGAAACTCCTTTTGCCTCAGACCCAGTACTGCTTCCATCATGTGCAGGAAAGCCAAAAGGGCATAGATTGGAAGTGTGTGTGTGTGTGTGTGTGTGTGTGTGTATGTGTGTGTGTAGAGATAGGCAGGCGGGGATGAGTTGAAGCATTTCTGTATTTGTAAATAGTCTGAATCATGTTCATGTGACTGTGGGCATGCTGCAGTGATTGTAACTTCAGTCACTGAACAAGTGGACATAAGTCAAGGACTGCCTGTATATTTGTATATTGCATTCTGTTTGTAGCGGTGAGTTTTTGACAAATAGGTTTCCCTATTAGTATGCATTTTTACAATTGTTTCCCTTAAATGGGTTGCACATATATTTAGGGTGAGATAGATTGAATGACAGACAAGAATTGATGATTATTGTTGATATTGGGAAAATGGGCTTCACTTGAATACAATAATACTTTTGCTATAGATGGCTTTGTAGCAATCTGTTTTAAAAAGTAGCACTTTGGCATTCATTTTTATGCAAGGAAGTGAGCATGTGCATTCTATATTAAACTAAGCTTCTAAACCTTTTTTCCTAGTCATGTCAGTCCATCCCTAAACATCTAACAGTGGAAGAATTATTTGGAACTTCATTACCAAAGGAAAACTCCACAGCTCCCATTTCCAATCCAGAGAGGATAGAGAAAACTGATACCTCATGCAGAGAACACAATTTGCTTTTACCCTTTTCATTTGAACAATCAACAGTAATCCATCAGCCTCTGGGGAAGCTAGACGCTCCAAGCCTCAAAAATAACTCTGTGACTTTATTACCACAGGAATGTGTACCATCTGTACTAACTTCATCACCTTCAGTTTTACAACCTGAAGTAAATAAAGTTTCAAACTATAATGTACATTTAAGTCCTATCCTTAATTCGACTTTGGCAACAGAAGCACCTTGTGGTCCAATGCTGCAGAATATCAATGCAAATAATAATGTAACGCAAGTCATGCAGCAGACTACCATGCAAATACCTTCACTTATGAATCAGCCATTGTGCGATATGAACCACAGTACACAAAATGTAAGTTCTGGTCAAAACCAATTCCTAACATCAATGACTTTGCCAAATACAGGAGATGCTTCAAACACATCACTTCCCAGTGTAGATCTTCTTCAAAAGCTCAGGTTGACACCACAACATGATCAAATGCAGCAATCTCTTATTAAACCCCAAGTAGCACCAAATGCTTCTTCTGCTATTAGCCAACTGGCCACACCAGATTGTTTCAAGGAATCCCACATCAAGCAACAGGCTTTGACTGGTAAAGTTATTCATACCTATCAGGTAGGTTATTTGGAGTTGAATACATTTCTTGTGAAATTGTAAGTCATTGCTGATAATGGCTCCCGTGTCATTATGCCATGGTCTTTCTTGTGTCTGAATATACCATCATAATTTCTTCATTTTGAATGACAGATGCCCTTCTCTTGATCTTCTAGATCAGCCACAAGTTCAGTTAATTAACATGCTGTTTTGAGCTACAACGCTACATATCTTTGGAAATTCTCATTAAACGTGATTCCGATTCAGTCAGAAAAACTATGTGTGTATGTACAGTGGGGCAAAAAAGTATTTAGTCAGCCACCAATTGTGCAAGTTCTCCCACTTAAAAAGATGAGAGAAGCCTGTAATTGTCATCATAGGTAGACCTCAACTATGAGAGACAAAATGAGAAAAGAAATCCAGACAATCACATTGTCTGATTTAGAAAGAATTTATTTGCAAATTATGGTGGAAAATAAGTATTTGGTCAATATCAAACGTTCATCTCAATACTTTGTTATATATCCTTTGTTGGCAATGACAGAGGTCAAATGTTTTCTGTAAGTCTTCACAAGGTTGGAACACACTGTTGCTGGTATGTTGGCCCATTCCTCCATGCAGATCTCCTCTAGAGCAGTGATGTTTTGGAGCTGTCGCTGGGCAACACGGACTTTCAACTCCCTCCAAAGGTTTTCTATGGGGTTGAGATCTGGAGATTGGCTAGGCCACTCCAGGACCTTGAAAATGCTTCTTATGAAGCCACTCCTTTGTTGCCCGGGCGGTGTGTTTGGGATCATTGTCATGCTGAAAGACCCAGCTACATTTCATCTTCAATGCCCTTGCTGATGGAAGGAGGTTTGCACTCAAAATCTCATGATACATGGCCCCATTCATTCTTTCCTGTACACGGATCAGTCGTCCTGGTCCCTTTGCAGAGAAACAGCCCCAAAGCATGATATTGCCACCCCCATGCTTCACAGTAGGTATGGTGTTCTTTGGATGCAACTCGGCATTCTCTCTCCTCCAAACACAACGAGTTGTGTTTCTACCAAATAGTTCTACTTTGGTTTCATCTGACCATAGGACATTCTCCCAATCCTCTTCTGTATCATCCAAATGCTCTCTAGCAAACTTCAGACGGGCCCGGACATGTACTGGCTTAAGCAGGGGGACACATCTGGCATTGCAGGATCTGAGCCCCTGGCGGCATAGTGTGTTACTGATGGTTGCCTTTGGTACATTGGTCCCAGCTCTCTGCAGGTCATTCACTAGTCTCCCTGGGTGGCTCTGGGATTTTTCCTCACCATTCTTGTGATCATGTTGACCCCTGGAGGGAGGGGTCTTGCGTGGTGCCCCAGATCGAGGGAGATTATCAGTGGTCTTGTATGTCTTCCATTTTCTAATTATTGCTCCCACAGTTGATTTCTTCACACCAAGCTGCTTGCCTATTGCTGATTCAGTCTTCCCAGCCTGGTTCAGGTCTACAATTTTGTTTCTGATGTCCTTCGACAGCTCTTTGGTCTTCACCATAGTGGAGTTTGGAGTGTGACTGTTTGAGGTTGTGGACAGGTGTCTTTTATACTGTTAACAAGTTCAAACAAGTGCCATTAATACAGGTAATGAGTGGAGGACAGAGGAGCCTCTTAAAGAAGAAGTTACAGGTCTGTGAGAGCCAGAAATCTTGCTTGTTTGTAGGTGACCACATACTTATTTTCCACCATAATTTGCAAATAAATTCTTTCCAAATCAGACAATGTGATTGTCTGGATTTGTTTTCTCATTTTGTCTCTCATAGTTGAAGTCTACCTATGATGACAATTACAGGCCTCTCTCATCTTTTTAAGTGGGAGAACTTGCACAATTGGTGGCTGACTAAATACTTTTTTGCACCACTGTATGTATGAATGAATGTACAGAGTATGTATAATATTGGTAATACAACAAAATCAGTGTTGATGACTTGGATAAAATAAATGTATGTGTGTGTATATGTGTGTTTGGTGAGATTGGCTATTTCAGAATAGTACTATATCTGCAAGAAAAAATTGTACATAAAATACTTTATTTTCATTTTAAATTTGTAGGTTACACAGCAAAATAAGGAGCCTGAAACATTTCCAAATCCTAAAGTGTTGTCAAAAGCAAACCAGGTACATATTAAAAACCAGGCATTGTAACATTGCCTTCATAGAAAAACATCCCTCTTCAGCCTCTTTTAATTAATTAATGAGTTGATAAAACAAACTTATAAAACAAACTTATTTGTCAGCTTGGGTTTTGCTGTTCTAAAGAATATCTGATTCCATCAGACATGGAGTAAATGTTACAACTTTAATATACTCTGTTGGAATAATAATATACTTTACCTGAAGTAGCAAGTTTCTTGCTACAGTCAAAAAAATGCTCTTTGTATGCAGCTCATAAAATTGTTGCAGCTAACTATATCCATATATTTTTCTTCCTTAAGCTTTCTATAGTTGCCTGAGTATATCCCAGTACCTTTTATTTGTAAGATTGTGTACTTTTTATAATAAACTCGAGAAAATATAAATGGCAGCATAATAGTCTTTCATCTGAAGTGTCAATAAAATTTGCATAATTTGAATTCATTTAATTATGTCCTCAAAGAGGTTCTTCAAACTTGATATATTTAATTTTTGTTATGTACTTTCAGACCAGTCACTTGACATTTTTCATTTTAATTGGGAATCTCTGCAACTTCTTTCTTTTCTGACAATAATAGAAATAATGGACTTAACATTATGGGAACTGGATTTATACAGTGTTCTTTGAAACAATAAATAAGGATTCTTATTTGTTTTTTTTAGATTGCTTCTACACAGTTTGCTACCACAGCAACTACAATTGCACCTTCTGTCCTCCTTTCACCTAGTGTGTTTGAACAGTCCACTATGAAATCCTCTGAAATTGAAAACAAAGTTGGTTCACCTTCTGCTGTGACACTTGGTACAGATGTTCAGACATTACCTTCAACGGTACTCAGTAGATCTCAACTTCAGCAAACTTTGATACATCTAATAAAGGTACAGTTACTATCTTAAGATAACAAGCAGTATGTAGAACCCATTGTTGATGGAGCTGCTTCCATAAATAAAGTAGGAGGAGCTGGTTCTCCTTGACTTCCAGAGATGTGGATTAGAGCAGGGAAAATTACTTGCTTTTGGAAGCAGTCATATTTTTTTATTTATTATTAAATTTATTTGCCACCGTTCTCATTTCAGAGTGACTCTGGGAGGCTTAAGCATGGTATCTTGATATCATTGCAATATTAATGCACCAGGTGCAAATTATTTTAAAATATAAGCTTCAACTGAAAAATGAATAAGATTATTTTCAGTCCAGGCAGTCCTTGACTTACATCCCAATACTTAGCAACCATTTCAAGTTCCAACAGACCTACCTGGAGGATAGTATGACCAGGATTCAAAGTGTCAGATTCTGACAGTAACCTCCATGGTCACATGACTACACTTCAGGCACTCTGCTACTGGGCCACATTTAACAGATTTGGAAGGGACCTTGGAGGTCTTCTAGTCCAACTCCCTTCTCAAGCAGGAGACCCTGTGCCATTCCAGACAAATGGCTGTCCAATCTCTTCTTAAAAACCAGCATTGATGGATCACCCACAATATCTGGAGGCAAGCCATTCCACTGATTAATTGTTCTCACTGACAGGGAATTTCTCCTTAATTCTAGGTTTTATCTCCTTTTGATAAGCTTCCATCTGTTACTTGTTGTCCTTCAGGTATTTTGGAGAATAGGTTGACCTTCTCCGTGACTGTCCCTAAAATATTGGAAGACTGCTATCATGTCATCCCTAGTCCTTCTCTTCATTATGTTAGACATACCCAGTTTTCGTAACCGTTCATTACATGCTGTAGCCTACAGACCCCTAATCACCTTTGCTGCTCTTTTCTTCACTCTTTCTAGAGTCTCAACATCTTTTTTGTATCATGATGACCAAAACTGGATGCAGTATTTCAAGTGTGGTCTTTAATGCAGTACTGGTACTTCACATGATCTTGATACTATCTGTTGATGCAGCCTAGGATGGCATTGGCTTTTTTTTGCAATTGCAGCACACTGCTGGCTCATACTTCATCGCTGTCCACTAGGACTCCTAGACCCCTCTCACAGTTACTGCTGTTGAGTCAGCTACCACCTGTTATATACCTGCGCATTTAGTTTTTCTTGCCTAAGTGTTAGACCTTACTTTTCTCACCACTGAACTGCATTCTGTCCAATAAGGCCCAGTGTTCAAGTCTTGTCAAAAGCCTTCAGAATTTGAGACTATCTTCTAAGGCAGGTGTCCCCAACCCCTAGTCCATGGACTGGCACCGGTCTGTGGCATGCCAGAAACTGGTCCGTGCAAACAAGCGCAGCCTCATCCGCAGGACGCAGGCAGCACACAAAACCACACCCCCTCCAGTCCACAAAAAACCTCTCTCCATGGAACCAGTCCCTGGTGCCCAAAAGGTTCTAATGTGTTGGCTATTTGCCTGCTCCCCCCCCCCCCCGCTTGATGTAATCTGAAAATTTGATGAGTTACGTTTCTATCCCCTCATCTAAATTATTGATGACATTGACCTAAAACAGAACCTTGGGGTACCCCACTACATGCTTCCTTCCATGTAGATATAGTTCCATGGAGGACTACTTTTAGTCACTTTGCCAAAAAATGCAATAAGGTTTGTCTGGTATGGTCTGTTTTTGACAAACCCATGTTCGGTTTTAGTAATAGCTTTGTTTGTTTCTAGGTGTTCGCAGATCCATTGCTTGATTATCTTTTCCAGAATCTTCCCAGGTATTGATAGTAGGCTGATTGGTCTGTAGTTATCTGGATCCATTTTTTTCCTTTTTTGAAGATTGGAATCCCGTCTGCTCTTTCCTAATCCTCTGGTAGTTCCTTGATGCTCCAGAAATGATTCAGTGGTTCTGAAATCACATCTGCCCGCTCCTTCAGAAGCCTGGGATGTAATTCATCTGATTCTGGTGATTTGAACTCATGTAGAGTAGATAGGCATTTTCTTGCCCATTTTAACTTGTATTCATAATCTGTCTTTTACAATTCTGCTTTTGATAGGTTGGACTGTTTTTTCCTTTTCTATAAAGGCAGATGCAAAGAATGAATTAAACAATTCTGCTTCCTCCCTGCTGCCTGTCACATCCTTGTCATTTTCTCCTATTAGTGGACCAACCATTTCCTTGACTTCATTTCCTGATTTATGGCCAATTTCATAATCCTATACAGTCATGTGAACACATTTTAAAATGGTTTTGCCAAAAACAGCATTTACTATCAATTTTTAGCAAAACCAAGCCTATGGTTTGCTTAACAAACATGGATTTGCTTAATAATCCCTGCATAAAGGGTCACAAAATCAGGTCCGTAACATGAGCAACCCGCTTTACAACCATGAATTGTGACCATGATGGATAGGTTCCATTATGGTCATAACTTGAGGACTGCTTTTACTAAAAATGTTAGTACAACTATATATGATTCTTGCTAGATCAGACCTAGGTAGCATTTTTGCCCATGATAGTTAACCATTCAAATTTCTGATCTCTAATAAACAGTAATAAAAAGCACAGTGCCTACAGTTATGGAGGTACATTGTTTTCATGCCTGGTAGCTAGTGATAATTTAGTTCTGATAAATATATCTTATTTTTTTTAATGACAAGAACCATTGAATCAAATTCTGAATTAAATGTACACTATTGAAATAAGTTATTATCTGTTCTTCATATTTTATGATTCCGATTTCACTGATTATGAGACAGCAAAAAGTTAGTTCATACTGTATCTTTATCTTTTGGAATTTTAGTACAAGTCAATCATATCCCTCATTTTGATATATGTAAAATGTTATATCCTTAATCATTTATGTTGATGTACTGTATTTCTTGGCGATTTTTTGTTTGCATACAAATTAAATTTGAAGGCAATGTGGTCACTGCTTCCCAATCAGTTTAACATTGCTTTCTTTTCAGACTTGAGACCTAATGATTTAAGTATTAAACATCTGTCCTGTCCATTTCAGGACCAACTGCTTTGACACAAATTGTTGTGTTTTATATCTAAAAGTACCTAGAACATTTTATTTTTATCATGACAATGGAATATGCATTTAACCAACATATATGAAGACATTTGAATGTTTCTCATATTTCATTTTAACATGAACTATTAAAAATTATCTTGCCGATTACCCTGGCAAATTGATCTACTCCGATAACTTTCTTATAAATGCTAAACAGGAGTGAAGAGAAAATCAAGTCCTGAGGCACCCTACACAAGAGGGGTGGGATAGACTTTTCCTCCCATCAACACTGACTAGGAAGGAGGAGAACCATAATAACTCTGGCTCCAACTTCTGAGCACCACAGCTAACGTAAAAGGATACTGTGGTTGATGGTACAGAAAGCTACTGAAAGATCAAGGAGAGAACAAAAATATATGGACTATGCCTATTCCGTTCCCACCAGAATTCATCTATAAATATAATCCCTGCTGTTTCAGTCCCATGCCCAGCTTGAATCTAACTCAGACATGTCAAACACAAGGCCCGGGGGCCAGATGCAGCCCGCATAGTGGTTTCATGTGGCCCGCAAAGCCATCCTGGGAACAGTGAGGGAACGGCCCCTACTGCCGTGGCCCTGGCCCAGGCCGGCCAGGAGCCAATGTACAATTTTGTGGTGGCCCTCTATGCTGAAACACATTCAGTCTTAGCTCCACAAGGCCGGCTGGAAACAATGAGGAACCAGCCCCTGCCGCATCGGCCGCACCCCGTGGGTGCATGCTGGTGAGGTGTCACTCTTTGTGAGGAATGAAAAAATGCACCATCGCCTGGAGGTGGCCAGCAAATGGCCTTCGCCTACTTCACATATCCGGCTTGATGGGCTCTGGGTGAGGAGGTTTCGGCAGACAGTGGGACGCTCTCCTCACAGCGCCAAGAGGCTGGGCCGGGCGGTGCAAATCCAAAAAGAAACGAGGCTGCCCAGCTCCCAGCCTGCCTGGTTTCAGCACGCAGCAGGGCGCTCTCCTCACAGCGCCAAGAGCTGACCCGGGTGGCGCGAATCTGATGAAAAGTGCAATGCTGCCTAGCCCCCAGCCTGCCCAGTTTCAGCAGGCAGCAAGGTGCAAAACTGGTGCGCTTCGCACCGTCCAGCTCAACCTCTCAGCGCTGTGAGTAGAGCGCCCTGCTGCCTGCCGAAACCAGCATGGCACCCTCTCCCCCAGAGCCCACCAAGCCAGATATGTGAAGTAGGTGTATGTTGGCCACTTCCAAGCGATGGTGCATTTCTTGATTCTCACGAAGGGTGACACCTCCCCAGCTGCGTTTCTTGCCTGTTTTTCTCCCTCCCTCATCTCAAATATTTTCCCATCACTCTGTACTTAGGAAGGAAAGAAGGAAAGGGAGGGTTTGAGGGAAGTCCTGCCTTAGTCCTGCCCTGCTGCCCTTTCACCATCCCCTTGCCCTCTCCTCCTGGCCTGTCCTGGGGGTCTCCCATCCTATTGTTAAGGAAGCTTTGGATACAAAGCTGGGTCTCCTCCCATGAAGAGGGAATGGGCCTCCTCTGACTTTACCCTCGTACCCATCATGAGCAACCTGGGTAAGGAGAGCAAGCACAGCAGCAGCAGCCTTGTAAGTGCAGTTGGGCGCCCCCTTAGGGAAGTGGGGCTGGGCTTGGTGCCGTGGGTGCTCGAGGGCCAGGCTGGGCGTTTGACCTCTGCTGCCCAAGGCTCCGGGCAGCCCGTGCCACCATCCAGTCGCCCCGCATGGCCTGAGAGGAACAGTGAGACTTCTCCAGTGCACCATGCCTTGGCACTTGCCCTGGTCCCACCCCCTTCTGCCAGAGACCCTCAGCTGTCCCACTGCTGCCCAGGCCCCACAGGCACCCTTGACGCGAACGATGTAGAGTTGGCCACACCCACCCAGTAGGTCACACCCACAGTGGCCACACCTACCCGGCCCCCCGAGGGCAACCCAATGCTGATGCGGCCCTCAGTGAAATTGAGTTTGACACCCCTGATCTAACTGGAAGGGAACCAAAAGATCCAAAATTGTATTCTCTTCTTTGTCATCAACCAAGATATTAATGTTTAGTGCTACATTAGTATATTTTAGTTCTTATTTACACCGATATTGGTAAACATTATATACAGATGTAAAAATAGCAAATCACTGAAATACAGTACCCTAACATTGAAATTATTCCATGTTAGCTCATATAATCAATTTTGCTGCCAGTTTTGTGCACAGCCTGCTGTTTCTTTTTTTCTTCACGACCACTGTTAAAACAAAAATCTTGCTGACTTTGAAGGGAGAAACATTTTCTGAACACAGAGTGAACTATCAGCAATTTTATATTGTAATAAAAGTAAAGTCGTTTTTTTTTCAGATTCCTGTCCATTGTTTTGAGGATATACTTTGCATTGCTTTAATTGAGATTTAGACTGCTTGCCTTATGTGTTGTGTACCTTTTTTGTTCATCAAAACCCTACTCCTTTTGACAATCAAAGTTCATGGGAAAAAAAGAAGAAAAAAATGTGTATTTTCTGTTTTGGCTTACAACTTGTCAGTCTAGGATGTGCAAGATTATCTTTTCCAAGGCTAATTATGAATATGAATAATTCAGAGAACATTTATTGTTGAAGCTTAATTACAATGCAGCAAAAATGGCAGAGTACAGAAAAAATAGTGAATAGATGTTTCACTGGATGTAACTGAATTCAGTGTTCTTTGAATTTTAATTACAAAGCATCTAAAGATTACTAGGTTAAAAAGAATACCATCAAAATATTGATAGTCTTTAAAAAGTTAGCTTGTGTGATTGCGCAATAATCAGTGTACAAACAGTAATCTGTGGTCCAGAATATCTGTTAAAATCTTAGTAACCATATTTATAAAGGAAATTGTTTTAATTATTAGAATTTGTAGTGCAATTCTGGCTTAACTCAGTAATATTTATATGAAAGAATTTATTTGACAGAACTATATATAAATTGGGTATGTGCAAAATGATTCATCTCCAGAGATATAACATGTAAAACATGTTTGTAGTTTCTTTTATTTTAAAACATCAGAAAATAATCTAAATGAAAAATTTCTGAACATATAAAAAACCAAAATTCTTCATTTTGGGAAGGATTAACAGAATTCAGATTTTTTTAAATTTTGCAAAATATCATTAATCCAAGAATACAATTTGGGATGATGAGTTATTATGATCTAAAAATGGATCTAAAGCTTGATTGTGATCTAAGATGGCCTTCTGATCAAGTATGCAGGATACTGAAAACAATTATACATCTGCTTTAGAGAATCACTGATTAGGCAATATTGAATCAGGAATCCTAATTAACTGTTCTTTTTCTGATATTTCTTTTTCCACCATCATCTTAGAAAATTTACTAATCAAAATAAAATCACACCATGTCTTGCATACTTACTGTCATCCCTTACATAGACCTTACCCTCTAATGTTCTTTGTAAAAGCTGTTTACCATTAGTATATACATATACATAAACACACTATTATATTTTGTAGTATACACAGGCATAAATATTTTTAAATTTTTGCATTTTGTATAATGTTAAATTGTTCATTCTGTGATTGGAAAGAAAAGATATATTGAACAGATAAATATATTCTGATGGGCAAATATTTTATTGCTGCAGATGTATTGCATTTAATATTCTGCATGTGCTTACATAACTCATGCTCATTTCATTCATTAGATTTTGTGTATTTGTTGTACAAACTATTGTCCGAGTGCCGTTCAAACACTGGTATATCTTGTACTAGTTACTACCGTAGTGTAACACTGATACAATTCAAGTATTGTGGAAGATTTAAAAACATGTAATCTATTTGTGTTGAATTTGTAAGCTTTCCTTCTCATTTGGCTGAAGGATGGGTCTTGTGTCTCAAAATCTAGTCTTGACAGCATTGCCATGTATCATTGCTGGTAAAAGCTTTGTTCTTATTTATTTCTTCTTTGACCATCTGAATTCTTCAATTTGTTCATTAAATGTGTTTCCCAGCCCGTACAATGCAAATATGTATTTATTTACAAGTTATATTATGAAGTATTTATCTCATTGGCCTGATTATATTCTTTTTTCTCTCTTAGAATGATGCAAATTTTCTTAATACTCTACATGAAGTCTATTTACAAGTCTTGACCAAGGATACTGACAGCATCAACCTATAACTGCAATGAATTGAATCCTACTGACCACCTATTTGCTTCAGAAACATGCCTCTTCTGTACAACTCTTATATTTTAAAAACTTTTTTTTTGAGATTGTGAAGTCTTTTTAAGCCTCCAAGGAATACTGTTCCTTAGAAATATTGTATAAATAATGTTCTAAGAAATGGTGTGGTTTCACTGTGACCATTTACCAGCAGGATTTTATTTCTGTATGGAAATACGGTCTTATGTTTAACAGCACATTTTTCTTATTTTTTGAGCAGTGTCAAATAGTTGATATAATTCTTTACCATATACACCCTGAATATTCAGGATAACTAGACGAAGAACATCAACAGTTTTGAAACCAGCTTCAAATTTAAGGAGCCATGGAAGAATTTAAGAGGATATTTCTAAGGCTTTATGAAGAAATGGACATGCAGTATAACATTTCTGCTTTTAGCCTTAACATAGTAACAGGATAACCTCTGGGTCCTATCAATCATAAATTGGTTTGTATGCAGAATACGCATTACTTTTACTAGGAATATATGAAATATGATTTCCTTTGAACAACATTTTTGAAAACTATTTCAGTGGAATATCATTTTTTTTTTCCTATCCAGGTCAAATGCCAATTTTGGTATAGATTTTCCTGTAGAAAGGTTGAAGTGTTTCTAGATAAGCTGTTGTTCAGAATAGTATTAAGAACTCTCCCTGAACTTGCATTATATACTGCTGTAAAGATCAAACTTCTTCCCAAAATAAGTCAGAATCTGATCTGTTTTATATGCTGCTATTGGTCTTTTGTGATTTCTATTTATTTCGTTCTAGCATGTTACAGTAGCTAGCAATACTTAAGTGATAACATATACTCAATTTACTCAAGCAATAGCAATGTAAAGGATAGCATTTTTAAAATTATGTCTTTGTTTTATATTGTGAAACGTAATTTTGTAGTCAGTTTAGCCATTCAAGTTGCACTGCTTTTTCAAAGCATGGTTGAAATGGAGGAAGAGCATAGTCTTCGCTCTGTATATTATGGTATATTTCTGTGAAGCCATTAAAAAAGGTAGGGCTGGGGGGAAAAAAGTATAGCCTACTATATAAGCCCCATTGTGTCAAGAGAATCTGTAACAAAGTTCTGGAGTAAATTTTACTGGTTACTCTCAAAGTGTGTGATAATGAAGATGGCATCATTATCCAGTTGACATTTCTAATTCATCATTGACGTTTTGATTATTGTGACTTCATCACAAATCAGTGTTTTTGATATAAACAGTGTGTTGATTTTTTTTTAACCAATCAATATGTATACTTAGATTTTGAGTGATTTTAGGTAGAAGTTTTTATGTTTAGCAAACTCTGCCTTCTGAAAGAACCTCTTCAGCCTTTGAAAGTCTTTCTAATAACAAAGTATTTTATATTGGTTATATGTACAAAATTCAGGGAAATATGTGTATAGTGACACATATTTGACAGGCTTTAATAGTGAAACTCAAAAGTATCTTTTCAGGCTTCGTAGACTTTTTATAGAAAACCAGAGCGCTCTCTGCTTGTACACTGGATCTGTTGTAGCACACCCATATACGTATACCAACAAGTTTGCTTAGTACACCATTCTTCCATATATAATTACAGGCTATTGTCAGACTATTAAAACTGAATTTTGTTACCGTGTTTTTTTTATTGACAAGAAAGAAATACGCAGTCATGAATTTATTGTAGAAAAAAAAATCCTCAGCCATAAATGTGAGATTTGCAGTGATGAAGCATATGAAGTATGATAACAGTGAATGCAAGTATTATATTAAAGATATTTTACCTTGAATATAAAGATATATAGAAAAGGTTTCCTTGACATTGAATGTACTTTAAGTTCCTTGGTCTCCAAGAATTAATAAGAAAAGGAATATTGCATTAAACAGCAAAGATATATCTAGGTATTTGCTGCAATAAAAAAAAATTTTATTCTCATTTGCTATTTTGTCTTGAAAAGCAGTGCAAAAGTTAGTTTATGGCAATTCTCAATCTTTAGGACAGGGGTTCTCAACCTTGGCAACTTTAAGACTTGTGGACTTCAACTCCCAGAATTCCTCAGCCAGCTAAGCTGGCTGAGGAATTCTGGGAATTGAAGTCCACAAGTCTTAAAGTTGCCAAGGTTGAGAACCCCTGCTTTAGGACATATATAAGGATCACAAAATAATTCTCTATTCTCCAGAGAATGTCTTTTATTAGAAGGTAGTATGAAAACTTAAGTTATTTTTAACATTTTTCATTGATGCTGAGTCCTATGCAGGTTTATGTTATACATAGCAAGTTTAAGCTATAACGGGTGTATTATGTAATACAAAGCACTGTTGGGCAACATTCACTGTTATCACACTAGTGCTCTTATTGCTTGTGGTGATGTGATGAAACGCTTTTTTAAGAATTGCTTTGACAAACTAAACTGCAGAGTAAAATCACAGATGTTTACAAAATGTGAAATCACTGGACAGCTTTAGCCTGATTGCCTAAATTTCACTTTATAAAGTTTCACTTTATAATCTCTCTTATTGTTCTCTGCATGCATCGGTAACAAATGCTTAAATAACCAATTTACACTGTTAATTTTAATTTTTCTCCTGGCAAAATATCTCTTGAAAGTAGCTCATATTTTAGACTATATTCTAAAATGAATATACACTATCTAAGCATGTATTTTTACACTGCCTATATGCAACTTCTAAAAAAGTTTAATATTTGTCTAAAGTGGCTTTCAAATATGCAGCTTATTGAAGATCTGATTGTTGTTTTGTAGGTAAAGATATTGTCTTTGAATTGTGCCTAATAACTATACATTTGTGACACACTTTACAGCATCTAAATATTTTGCAAAGGCCTAAGGCACAATGTGACACAGAAAAGCAATTTGTATTTTCAGTCTTGAAATGGAACTTATATTTCAAACTGATTAAATTTTAATTTTTCCTATGTTTGTTTTCTTGGGTCTATTGCATTCCCAGAATGTTCTAATATTATGTGTTAGCAAGGGTATAATTATTAGGAGACTTTCAGTAAAAGTATTTAATGTCAAGTGTTTGGCACAAATAACAAGAAACCAAAAAAAAAAAAAAACCCACAAAAAAACCTAGCAATTTCTTCTTGGCTATTTAGTTGCTGTTTTAGCATATCTTAAAGAGGAAAGTGTGCAATATATATACATATATATTTCACCGCAGTTTTTGACATATTTGCTAAAATGTTAAGATGCAATATCTTCACCTTCAGTGGGAAAAAATTGCAATAATCTTCCCCCTGTAGTTTTGTACCAATAGTATGTCTTTGTTTAAAATCCATACTATATTCAATATGTGGGTTTACTGCTTTAGTTTGCACTCCATGCTTATTGTGAGTTTGAGTAGCTTCAATCTTTATTATCTGAATAACTTTTGGAGATTATTGGGCATAATATCCCAGTGGTGCAGCACCTATAACTGAAGAATTGCAATAAACATATGACCTCAGTTTCCTAGGTCTGTGGACATAATAGAAAACACTAAAGGCCATTAAGGAAGAAATACTTGTGTATATAGTATTCTCTTCCCAATCTCCTTGACTGTAATATAATTTGTTTATGACTCTGTGCACAGTTATTGGTGAGACAGCTTGTTGGAATACATGTGGAATCTTTAATCTGTTGATGCTCCTAGGATAGACTGAATTGTGCCTACTGGTTTTCAAGCAGTTTTTAAATTGTCATCACAATGCATCAACAGTTCAGTATATGGGTATGTAATTTGTGCCATCATATTATGTTGGCAAATATTAAGTTATTGCATAAATGTTTTAAAATGAACATTTTCAGTGGAAATTTTGTATGTTTTCAAATATATTTTTGTAATAAAAACTCAAAAAGACAAGTTTCTCTTGGTCATAGTTCAACTTTGTGAGAAAAAGCTTAGGCAGGCAACATATTGAAATTTATCAATTGGCTTTATAAACAGAACAATTTGGAATCTGAACAAAGCATTTTTAAGATACAAAAGGATCTGGGCAGACTTGAACACTGGGCGCTATCTAACAAAATGAAATTCAGTGGTGAAAAAAGCAAGGTTCTACATTTAGGCAAGAAAAACCAAAGTCACAGGTATAGTATAGGAGGTACCTTGCTCAATAGTAGTAACTGTGAGAGGGACCTCGGAGTCCTAGTAGACAATCACCTAAATATGAGCCAGCAGTGTGCTGCAGCTGCCAAAAAGGCCAACACAGTGCTAGGCTGCATTAACAGAGGGATAGAATCAAGATCACGTGAAGTGTTAATACTACTTTACAATGCCTTGGTAAGGCCACACTTGGAATACTGCATCCAGTTTTGGTCACCGCGATGTAAAAAAGATGTTGAGACTCTAGAAAGTACAGAGAAAAGCAATAAAGATATTAGGGAACTGGAGGCTAAAGCATATAAGGAACGGTTGCTGGAATTGGGTATGTCTAGTTTAATGAAGAGAAGGACAAGGGGGGACATGATAGCAGTGTTCCAATATCTCAGGGGCTGCCACAAAGAAGAGGGTCAAGATATTTTCCAAGGCACCTGAAGGCAGGACAAGAAGCAATGGGTGGAAACTAAGCAAGGAGAGAAGCAAGAACTAAGGAGAAATTTCCTGACAGAACAATTAACTAGAGGATCAGCCTGCCTCCAGAAGCGGTGAATGCTCCAATACTGGAGGTTTTTAAGAAGAGACTGGACAGCCATTTGTCTGAAATGGTATAGAGTTTCCTGCCTGAGCAGGGGGTTGGACTAGATGACCTCCAAGGTCCCTTCCAACTTTACTATTATTATTATAATCCCGTCCTTTTTTTAGTATTTCCATACTTGACATAGAAGGATATTAATTTTGGTTATCTGGTAAAATGTGCCAGTCAAAAATATAATTTAATTTCATTATATTTAATGTGCTGAGCTATGCTAGGTTTTATTCATAGGTCATTATCCATATCACTACAATTACTCCTCATGAGAATTAAGAAGACCTGAACTGTGAGCATGTTATTTCCTTCCTTCTGCATTAAAATGACAAAAGCAACACTGACAAAGGATATAGTCTTGTGAGTGAAATGCCAATAAAATGCTAATAAATGAACCATTGTGATTTCATGATGGATTGTATCAAACTGCATTCTTCTGCCCTCAAAACAGAAAGCTAATTAAAATGCCTTCTGTAATTTCGTATACTTCCTAGATATCCAGGTAATTCTGGAACTTAACGACCAGGCAAGCAGCAACCATTCGAAATTCCAACAGTGCTGGTTGAAGTGACTGTTGCCTGTACTTGAAGTTGCAACTTGCAGCATATACACACACAGATGTCACTGTATAAAAAAATTGGCACAAAAGTTTGCCCGCCTTTGCAACTGACTGCAGAAATGCTGCTACTGCCCCATTCACCTGCCTTTCCCACATCTCAGCCACCCACCCAGCCCACCAAGGCAAGCAAAGTTGCTGCAGCCCCAGGGCCCTTGGGCCTGCTTCCCAGTCTATGACAATTTGCTGCAGCCAACTCGTTGCAGGGCAAGAGTTACACTGATATCAAAGAAATGTTGGAATAGAATCATTAAAGGATGAAAAAGGAACAGAATGAAATGTGTTGACAAAAATTAAAATAGTTTACTTATTTTAAATAATTGAATTGTTAAATTGTCCTGTGGCGAGTGGGCTGTGGTGAGTTGTCCCATGGTGAATTGCCTGCAGTGAGTTCGCTGCAGCAAGTTGTCCCATTCTGCTGCTTCCTGCCCTGCCAGATCCCAGCGGTCTTTGGCTTCCTCCCCCTTCAGACAAATGTGGGAGGTATAAATTGCTCCACTTTTTTTTATTTTTCTACAGCTGCTGAGAGGAGCATCTAGCCCAGCGGTTCTCAACCTGTGGGTCGCGACCCCATTTGGGGTCGAACGACCATTTCACGGGGGTCGCTAAACAACGCAGTCTGCCATTTTTTTCCCCTTTTCCTTAGCTGTGCTACTCCCTTTTATTCTATTGGCTTTTGAAAGCCAGTAGAATAGACTCTCTTGAATAGAGTCTAATTCTATTGGCTTTCAAAAGCCAATAGGAATTGTCCAGGCTGTCTCTGCCCTGTTGAGCCCGCCAAAAGTCCCATTCTACAAACAGTGCTGCAAGTTGTCTGCAGCGAAGGCGAGCTGTCTGGAAGTTTCCACCCCTCCCTGCTGAGCAACTACTAAAAATGTAAGTAAAAGAGGGCCAGGGGTGGGAGGTGGGAGGCTGGCGGGCACAGGGAGGGTTGCTGGCACACGTAGGGCCCGGCGGGTACCTTACCTCCCTTGGGCTGGGCCAGCTGGTGGCCTAGCTAGTGGTCGGCCTGCGCCATCTCTGCTGCTTGTCAGCTACGCCTTGGCCGGTGCAGGGGGTGGCACCACGTATGTGCGGCGCTCCCGGGCAGGGAAAGTCCTCGACTTACGACCGGTTAGGTAGTCCTCAACTTACAACTAGTTGGGTAGTCCTCGACTTACAACCGGTTGGGGGTCGCGGCATTAAAAAGGTTGAGAACCATTGATCTAGCCAATGCAGAGGCCACCCTTCACCATTTTGCAAAGAGCTGCCATTCTTGTGATCTCTCTGAAGGATCCTTTTCCCAAGTTGCTTCCAAAATGCCATTAAATAGCCTCTGTAGAAAGATCACTCCTTGCATCAGCCCAGTGCTCTTTTGGAAAGGCAACCTTTCCACCATGATTATATAATGAATTGCATTGGATAAAACGATAAAACTGTAAAAACCTATTTAGAGCTGGCAGAAACAAATATTGAGGGTATAATTACTGTTAGAAGAGGAAACGGGGGGGGCGCTTCATTTTGAGGACAAAGTAGGAATTTTGTCAACCCATGTTAATTATTACAGCTTACCCATTTATACCTATGCAGAGTTCTCAATTCTTTATATGTTCGATTAAAAGTTTTAGAGAACGTAACAGAATAAACAATAAAGAAAATCAAGAAAGGCAAATGTGTAGAAGTATGGAAATAGAAACTTTATTTTCAGTAAATATGATTACAAAGTTCTCTAGAGTTCTCAGTTCTCTATTTAGGAATATGAATCAGCTTCTTAATATAACATAGGAAATGACAGAACCAAACAACATGGTGGATTTCTTTATTTCCATTTTTAAGCATCTAATTCCAAACATTAAGCTTATTAATTTCCTATATTTCAAAATTATAGTATGGGATTGGTAGGGGGAGCAGATCATGAGGTTAACAAGTCTACCAAACTGAACCTTGTGTCACAAGTTTGTTAAAATAAATACTTAGTCTTTGAAGTAAGGACACACAACCGTTAGCTTAAGTCATTGCATGTTAAGTCAAGGGTTGTACCATATTTCATAGGGCAAGTCAAGAACTACACTCCCAAAATGGGCATGAGCAAACATGGGTGGGGGGCTATTCTTTTTCTTTAACTGTTGTTCACACCATACAGTACTTGCAAATTCTTCTCTCCCACAAAAACGGTTACAGCTTTTTTTGCACTTATAAAGGCCTGTGACAAACTCAACAATACAGCTGCTCTTTGATTAAACACTGGATTTGTGTTTTCCCTGAGAGCCAGCAAGCTACAGGGTTGATTAAACCCCAAGCATTTATTTATTTTTTGTTGGGTTTTAAGGGACAAAATTACTAAAGTGCTGGCCTACAAACCAGGAGACTGAGTTCTAGTCAGCTTTATGCAAGAAAAACCAGCTGGGTGACTTTAAACCAGTCAATCACTCTCTCAAGGCAACTCATCTCACACGTTGTTGTGGGGTAAATAGGAGTATTGGTGCATTCACTACCTTGAGTTATACATGAAAAAAATGCTAAATAAATATTTTTAAAAAATGAATATCCTTTCCACACAAAAATAAAAAAGTCTATAAATAAGGGTGTTTGGGTATGTCATCAAATCTCAAAACAGATCTAAAATATTACATCCACTCAGTCTCGGGAGCTGCCTAAACTGGTGGTTTATTCTTGCTGCATCAAATTGGGCAAGGAAGTCCACGGCGCGTGGATTGTTTTTACGTGGCTACATAAAGCTGAGCATGGGAGTTTTTTAATCAGTATGATCGTTTGCGTGGTTCGAGAAAGTGACTCAAGCAACAGCATCTCAGTCTTTGAAACGTTTGCACAAGCCGGGCACTTCCGAGAACTACACTTCCCAAGATTCTTCGAAGGGGAAAAAATGGCAACAATCTGAGCAATCAGTACGAAGGGTCAGAGGCGCAACTTTCATCTGCTATACAAGGAAATAGTAGATTACATAATTACCCGTTGAAACATGTACTTAAATCTAGGCAAAGCAGTACAGCAAGCGCCAAGCTGTAGCCACAAGGACACCCACGCATCTGCCTGCCTAAGCTAAGATCACTGTAAACAATAAAAGCTACAAATAAACGCGCGCTGCATCGGTCTGCGGCGATAACACTAAAAGAAGGGCGAGAAGCAAGACATTGCTGCTCCCTAATTGGTAGAATAAAAAACTAAGCGTGTCTTGGGTCCTCGCAGGTTTAAAAATTACCCCCTCCTCCCAAAGAAAGCGCCCCACCAAAAGAAAAAGCAAGAGGCATTGGAAGCAAAGAAAAGCACGCCAGCGGCTAGTCTCTCTTTCTCTCTCTCCCCGCTCGCGCCGTCGGCATTGGAGACCCGGCCGCGAGACCTCGCGCCACGCACCCTCCCCAGAAGCGAGGCCACACTCGCTCCACGGCCCGCTTTCCCGCCAGGCCGGCCCCGCCCATCCAAGAGGCAGCCCCTCTCTTTGGCCCCGCCTGCTGCCTTGGCAGGACTTGGCCGAGCGGCTCCGCCTTCCCTCCGCCAGTCTGCGTCTCCAGCTGCGGTCTGTCACCCGAGCTCGCTGCCCGTGGCGTTCCTGTT